AACTGTAAAAATTACAAATAAATGAGCTTGAGGAAATAAGAAATGATGCATATGAAAATTCAAGAATTCATAAAGCAAGAATCGAAGAGTTTTATGAGAAGAAAATACTAAGAAAAACATTCAATATTGTTCAAAAAGTCTTGCTTTATAATTCTCGATTGCATTTATTTCCTGAAAAACTAAGATCAAGATGGAACGGTCCTTTTATAGTGAAACATGTGTATCCATATGGGGCTTGTGATATCGAGCATCCAAAGAATGACAATGTTTTCAAGGTAAATGGACATCGTTTGAAAGTTTACTTTGATAATTTTTCAGTTGAAAATAACTCTATTGAATTAGGTGATCCTATATATAAAGATTGATTTTTTTTTCTTTCATATTATTTTTGTGTTTCTTTTTTAGTGATTTTTGCTAGCTTCTCTCACCTAGTCAAATGGCAGACAACGGTACTCCATAGATATTTCTCTAGTTTGCTACCTTGTTTGTGTTGGTGAGAAGGGAAGATTACAAGTTGAGTTTTCGTATGAATCAATTATGTTGGTTGCACGATAAATATGACTGAATTTGGAAATTTTGTATGGATGTTTGATTTAGAGAATGTGAGTATGCTTATTTTTCTTTATTTGCTATTGTGTACACTAAGTTAAAGATACCAATGTTTGCATGATAGGTCCTTCAAGTGTGATGAATCGAGCCTAATTATGATTGTTATTATTCTTTTTATTTCAAAGGTTTTATGTTTTGTTTTGCTTGAGGACTAGCAAAATCTAAGTTGGGGGGTGTGATTGTGCATCAAAAGTGTCATTAAGTCTCTTATTTTACATATGTATTTATTGTTTTTATTTGGTTGTTTTTATAATAATTGATGTGTTTTTTAGTAATGAAGTTTGTTTTAATGTTTCGATAGGTTTTTGGAGCTTAAATGAATTAATTCACAAAATTCAACGTCGGAATTCAGAACAAAGAATTGAAGAGACATTTAGTTGAAGATTGAAGCAAATCTTGGTTCAAATAAGTGCTCCAAATTTGTCCCAAAAATCAATTCTATTCCAATTCTAGAAAAGAATATCATATGATTTATTTCAAGCCCAAACTTGCCTTATGTTGTGTGCAAACTTCAACCATTAAACACTCAAGGTTTCAATGTCAATCTTAGCCCAAATAATAAGTACATTTGTATACTTATTTGATGCTCAAATTCAGCCCAAATTCAGCCCCAAATCAGCCCTAAATCAACCCCAAATCAACCTTCAAATCAACCCAAACACAATCCATGATCTTACATGTCCACACAACAAATAACAATTGATTTATTTTGGGTAATCCATTGATCCAAGAAGGCAAGCACATGGATGGAAAGCTGGAGGGGATATTTTAACATTATTTTGGGTCAAAAAGAAGAAGGAGACACCTCATAAATGAGGAAGAAAAACGTGCACCAAAGTAGTTGTAAAGCTGTCTTGATTTGATTTTTCAGAACACCTTTCGGTGTTTTGCCCATAACTTTTGACTCAGGTGTCCAAATGAGCTGTTCTTTAATGATCTGGAAAGGTGACAGAATTTCCTATAAATATGTCTCTAATAGACTTCTCCAAAAAAAGCTTCTAAGAGGGTCGAATTGCTGTCCAAAGTTAGAGTCAGATTTGTGTCCGAATTTTTTCTGAAATTGTATTGTGTTCTTCTTTATAGATTTCTGTTCTTTAGTTTGTAAAACTTATTATTTCAGTTGGATTCATGTTCTTTCATATTTATTGAAGTGTTCTTATATATAATCATGGTTGGTAATCTCTTTCTTGGATCCAAATCAAGGATGATGGTGGTTAAGGTGAGTTCTTTAATATATGAATGAATCTTAATGTTTATCTTCTCATTTTCTTCATGAATGATTTATTATTGCCAAGAAATTTTAGAAACCATTTAGGTAATGTTATAATCTTGAATTTTTATGCACAAACTTTAGTTTTGGTATAGAGATTGCTTGATTCAATGTCTTACTTAATATGAAAATACTTGTACATTTTTAAGCAATAATCAATCTTCATGCTTTTAAACTTCATTGTAATATCTTCCGATCTAATATCACCATCGTTGAGATTAGGTTGAGTTATCTTATATATGTTGAAGAATCGTTGAGATTAGGTTGAGATATCTTATATATCTTGAAGGAATCACCAATACATCACCATTAAAATTGATTTGGACCAAGACTTACTTTTTCTTATCATTTAAAATCTATTTAAACGTTTACATCTTTGAAAACAAATCCATCAATTATTTTCAACCAAGTTATTATTAATTTAATTTCTCTTGAGTTTTTTTTTTTGTTACCTAGCTTATTTTCTAGATCTAGCTTTCTGTGGATATGACCTCGATCTTACCGAGTTAATTGCTACATCGCACACTGATGCACTTACGAGTTAAAACAAGCCGATCATAAAAAGGGTTTTACCGAAGATTCATTCATTCTTTTAGTACCATTGCCAAACCATTTTGTAACTTGTTGTCACAAGATGTCCAATTTGATTGGACATCAAAATGTCAAAAAGCTTTTGAAAAGCTTAAAGGGTTGTTGACCACTGCACCAATCATGCAAGCTCCTGATTGGTCCTTACCATTTGAACTGATGTGTGATGCTAGTGATTTTGCGGTTGGGGCTGTTTTAGGGCAAAGAAAAGATAAGAAGCCTCATGTCATTTATTATGCTAGAAAGACTTTAAATGATGCTCAATTGAATTACACTACAACTAAAAAAGAACTCTTAGTTGTGGTCTTTGCATTAGACAAGTTTAGTTCTTATTTGGTTGGATCTCTTGTTATTGTTTTCACTGATCATGCAGCATTGAAATATTTGCTCACAAAACAAGATGCCAAACCACGTTTGATTCGATGGATCCTCCTACTCCAAGAGTTTAACCTTGAAATTCGAGACAAAAAGGGAGTAGAGAATGTAGTGGCTGATCATTTGTCTCGTCTTTCAAGCTATGAGACCATAATTGATGAATCTCCAATAAATGAACTCTTTGCTGATGAAAATTTATTTTGTGTAGGTACTGTCTCCTACATTGGTTCTCCATGGTATGCTGACATAGCAAATTACTTAGGCACAAGTCAGATTCCTTCTCATTGGTCTAAACTTGACAAAAAAAAATTCTTGCGCAATATGCGCACCTTTTTTTGGGATGACCCCTACCTATTTAAATTCTGTCCTGAACAAATTATTAGACGGTGCATCCCTGATCATGAAATTCCAAGTGTCATTAATTTTTATCATGCATTAGCCTGTGGTGGCCATTTCTCTTCCAAGAAAACCATTTCCCATGTTTAAAGATGTTCATGCCTTCTGTGTTGCATGTGATCGATGCCAACGACTAGGTAGCCTCACTAGGCGTATCATGATGCCCCTTAACCCCATCCTTGTTTTGGAAATATTTGATTGTTGGGGGATTGATTTCATGAGACCTTTTCCAAGTTCATTTGGTTACCAATTCATCCTTGTAGCTGTTGATTATGTGCCTAAATGGGTGGAGGTCATTGCATCTCGAACCAATGACCATCAAGTTGTGATCAAATTCTTGAAAGAAAATATTTTCTCTCGTTTTGGCATGCCCCGGGCTATGATTAGTGATGGGGGAAAACATTTTTGTAACAAGCCCGTTGGGATTTTAATGAGAAAATATGGTGTAATTCACAAGGTCAGTACCCCCTATCACCCACAGACTAATGGCCAAGCTGAGTTGGCAAACAGGGAGATCAAGAAAATTTTAGAGAAAACAGTCAATCCAAACCATAAAGATTGGTCCCTACGACTAGTTGATGCTTTGTGGATATATTGCACTGCTTATAAGACCTCTTTAGGAATGTCTCCTTATAGGCTAGTTTATGGAAAGCCTTGTCATCTCCATGTTGAGATTGAGCACCGTACATATTGGGTCATCCGATAATTCAATGACAATGAAAACAAGGTTGGAAAAAATAGAAAGCTTCAATTGGATGAATTTGAGGAGTTGAGAAATGATGCATTTGAAAATGCAAAAATTTCAAAACATAAGATGAAAACTTTGCATGATAAACATATTCTTAGAAAATCCTTTCATGTTGGTCAAAAGGTTCTTTTGTATAATTCACGATTACATCTCTTTCTTGGGAAGTTAAGGACAAAATGGATTGGTCCATTTGTGATTAAATCCATATCTGAGCATGGTGTATTTGAGGTAGAAAATCCTAAGAATGGAAATATTTTCAAAGTAAATGGTTATCGATTGAAACCTTATCTTGAAAACATTGTGGCTAAAGTTGAGACATTGGATCTTGAAGATCCAATATCATTGTAGTATCAGAAGTAATGAGTTTTTATTTTTATTTTTTATTTATTTTATTTATTTCATTTTTTTGTCATTTTTATTTTTTTTCTTTCTTCCATCTTTTATATTTTCTTGTTCATGCATTAAGGACAATGCATTATTTTAAGTTGGGGGGTGTGAGGTTTTCTATTTTCAAAAAAAAAAAATCAATATTTTCTTTTAGTTGTGATATGCAGATTAAAAAAAAAATCAAGCAAGAAGTCAGCTCATGCCTAATTCAATCAAACATTCATCCTTGAAAACAAAAGGGGAGTAACAATTTTCTAATCTTTATACTTTCCTTCTCTTTCTTTTTTTACATTAAGGATAATGTAAAACTTAATTTTAGATATTTCATTATGTTGAATGCTTGAGATAACCATGCTTGTTAAAAAAAAAAACTTGTATTCGTATGTCAATGAGACTTGTTTAGGATCACCATTACATTTTTGGATTCATTATTGGGTTGAACATTGCATGCTTTAATTTGGGATAGATAATATCTTATAAAGCAAAATATAACATACTTTTTTTTTTAAGATTACTGAAGTACATCTTTCCTTGTAAAAGTTGTGTGAGTTATGTGATTATGCATAAACGATGAGTATGATGCTTTACTTGTGATTATCCCTTTTAATCTAGTCCTAAACAAGGTTTTAGTAAATAGAGTAATAATTATTACACAAATAAATAAATAAATGTGTACAAAGTTCTATCTACTCCAATGTTTTGAGTTGCTCAATAACTAGGGGTATTCATCACAAATGTTTATCTTTACGTCAAACAGCAGCTTGAAATATGAGTATGCAAAGCACTTTAAGTTTGTCACTTTATGAGTAACCAGGTGTATTCATCATAAATATTTGTATTCGCGTCAAAAGGGAAGTGACTACTTAAAGACAGAATAAATCATATCTTCAAAATATATATATATATATATAATAAGATGACTAATGTAATCATGTTAACAATCTATAATCAGATTGGAACCTCCTTTATGTGTGGTTTCTAATTGAGTAATAAGAGTTTATACTATACTTATTTGACATACCATTAGTGAAACCTCTAACCTTGACATTTGTTATTATCATTGTTTAATCCTTACATTAATATTCCATCTCAAAGTTCTCATCATCATCATCTTCTTCTTCTTCTTTTTCTTTATTATTATTATTATTATTATTATTATTACTACTACTACTACTATTGTTGTTGTTGTTGTTATTTATAATTTGTACAATTAACCTCCTTGTGGTTCGACCCCGGTCTTGCCGGGTTATTTATTACTTCGACACTCCTGCACTTGGGAGAGGACATTAATCTTTTAGTCGTGTCAAGTTTTTGGCGCCGTTGCCGGGGAGGTCAGTTCTTGTATAAATTATAGTAGTTATTTTATTTTCACTTTTCACTTTTCTTGTATATAACTTTGTTTCTTCTTCTTTTGTTTTCTTCTTCCTTTTATTCTATTCCTACACGTGCATGCGAGTGTGGTCACATACATCAAGTGGTAGACTTTCTAGGGTATCCTCATCATTTTCAGTAAATATAGCCAAGAAAGATAATCAATCACTTCATAATGAGAATAATAAGAATAACCGTGCTAGAACACTTAGAGACCACATGAATCCTATAAGAACAAGTGCATCATCATGCATAGTTTTTCCTCCTAATGCATCTCATTTTAATTTTAAGCCAGACATTATTCAACTTTTACCTTCTTTTCATAGCTTAGAATTGGAAAATCCATACTTGCATTTAAGGGAATTTGAGGAGGTCTGCAATACATATAATAATTTAAATTGTAGCATGAACACCATCAGATTAAAGCTTTTTCCTTTTTCATTAAAAGATAAAGCTAAAACATGGCTACAAAATTTGAGACCAGGATCCATTTGTGCTTATGATGAAATGCAACAACAATTTTTAAAGAAGTTTTTCCCATCTCACATAACAAACTCTTTCAAAAGACAAATCACCACTTTCACTAAAAAACCAGGAGAAACATTTTACCAATGTTGGGATAGGTATCGAGACTTACTAAATACTTGCCCTCATCATGGTTTTGAAACATGGAGACTGGTTTCACATTTTTATGAAGGGTTAACACCTAGAGATAGGCAAATGGTTGAATTGACATGCAATGAAACTATTGAAGATAAAGACCCTGATGAAGCAATGGAGTACTTAGACTTGTTAGCTGAAAATGCTCAAAATTAGGACACTGCGGGTACTTATGAAGCATCGAGTAAAGCTCAACCTCATACATCTAGTGGAGGTATGTACAACCTTAGGGAAGATCATAACCTTCAAGCCAAGTTTGCATCTTTAGCTAGAAAAGTCGAGGCACTAGAATTGAAAAAGAGTGGTCAATTAAAATTTGTTGAAAACATTGTATGTCAAATATGTGAAACAAATGAACACTCAACCAATTCTTATCCAACCTTGCTTTTTTTTAAGGAATGTCTCCATGAACAAGCCCATGCTTTAAATAATTTCTAAAGGGCTAACCACAACCCATACTCGCAAACATACAATCCTGGTTGGAGAAATCATCCAAATTTCAGTTGGAAGAGTGATAATAACAATGTACAAACTTCACAACCACCGTTTTAAGCACGTCATAATTTCCAAAATTCTCATGGATATGCACCTCCTTATGCTCCATCTTCTAGAAGAAATCTTGAGGAAGCATTGCATGCATTCATTGAAAAACAAGAGACAATCAATACTCAACTTGCTCAAAATATGACAGATTTTAAAGATACTCTTACAAAATTAACATCTGCTCTTAGTTTTCAAGAGAAAGGAAAGTTTTCATCTCAACCACAACAAAATCTCAATGGGCAATACAATGCAAATGCAAGTAGTTCTGGAAGCCAACACATGGATTAAGTCAAATTAGTCACTACTCTTCGCAGTGGTAAGGTTATTGAAAAACCCACTCTTAAACCTTGTGAGAAAGATGATGAGTCAATCTCTGAGGGCAAGGAAATGGTTGAATCTGAAAATTGCAAAGAAACGACTGATTCCCCGTCAGCACTTCCATTTCCTCATGCCATGACCAAACAAAGGAAAACCAATCACAACTCTGAAATCTTTGAAACTTTCAAACAGGTAAGAATCAATATACCTTTGCTGGATGCTATTAAACAGGTTCCTTCCTATGCTAAATTTTTGAAAGATCTATGCACCGTAAAGAGGAAACTGAATGTGAAAAAGAAAGCCTTTTTAGCCGAATAAGTAAGTGTCATTCTTCAGAACAATAATGCTTTGAAATATAAAGACCCTGGTTGTCCTACAATTTCTTGCTTTATTGGATAACATAAAATTAAAAGAGCCTACTTGATCTTAGAACTAGTGTGAATTTACTTCCATATTTAGTTTTTCAGAGTCTTAATCTAAGTGAGTTAAAACCAACTTCTATAACTCTTTTACTTGCCGATAGATCTGTAAAAGTGCCTAGAGGAATAATTGAAGATGTGCTAGTACAAGTCGATAAATTCATTTATCCTGTGAATTTTATTGTCTTGGACACATAACCTATTGAAGTATGTAATTCATTTCCTATTATTTTAGAACGTCTGTTTCTTGCAATTTCTAATACATTGATTAATTGTATGAATGGACTGATGAAGCTATCATTTGGAAACATGATATTAGAGATGAATATTTTCAACATTTGCAAGCAACCTGGAGATGATAATGATTTACAAGAAGTGGACTTTACTGAAAAATTAATTCATGATCAATTTCAAACCACTTCGAGTGAAATTGAGATTGATGAATCTGATTATTTGCAAATGGTTTATTTTCAGGAAGAATCAAAGACAAGTAATTAGAGACCACAAATTGAGGAATTGCCACCATGATCAATTAAGTCCATACCTTCAAGTGGTCAACCACCCAAACCTGATTTGAAGTCGTTGTCATTTAATCTCAAATACTCATTTTTGAGAGAAAATGAAACTTTTCTGGTAATAATCTCTTCCGAACTTAATGCACATCAAGAAGGTAAGTTATTGCAAACTCTGAAAATGCATAAAAATGCATTAGGATGGACCATAGCTGACATAAAAGGAATTAGTCCTTTGATTTGTACACATAGAATTTATTTATAGGAACATGTTAAGCCCTCTAGGGAAATGCAATGAAGGCTTAATCCTAATATGAAAGAAGTAGTGAAAAATGAAGTCATTAAGCTTCTAGATAATGAAATCATTTATCCTATTTCTGACACCAAATGGGTAAGGCCTACCCAAGTTGTACCCAAGAAATCTGGAGTCACTGTGATAACAAATGAGAACAATGAGTTAATTCCCATTAGAACTGTTACTGTTTGGCGCATATGCATTGACTATAGGAAACTTAATTCAATGACTAGAAAAGATCATTTTCCTTTACCTTTCATGGATCAAATCCTAGAAAGAGTTGCAGGTTATGAATTTTATTGTTTTCTAGATGGCTATTCAGGATATAACCAAATTGAAATTACATTGGAAGATCAAGAGAAGACTATTTTCACATGTCCGTTTGGTACTTTTGCATATCGAAGGATGCCTTTTGGATTATGTAATGCACCAGCCACGTTTCAAAGATGCATGCTTAGTCTATTTAGTGATATGGTTGAACAAGTGTTAAAGATTTTTATGGATGATTTTTCTATTTTTGGCGATTCATTTGATGATTGTTTGACTAACTTAGAAAAGGTTTTGAGCAGGTGTGAAGAGAAGAATCTTGTACTGAATTGGGAAAAATGTCACTTTATGGTAACAAATGGCATTGTACTTGGTCACATTGTTTCATCAAAAGGAATTGAGGTTGATAAATCTAAAATCGAGTTAATTACGAACTTGTCAACACCAAAATCTATTAAAGATGTTAGATCATTCCTAGGACATGCTGGTTTTTATAGAAGGTTCATCAAAGATTTTAGCGTAATATCTAAACCCTTAAGTAACCTTCTAACAAAGGATAATATTTTTGAATGGACTGAACGTTGTGAAAAAGCCTTCGTTAAACTTAAAAATTTGCTTCCTTGTGCTCCTTTCATTCAACCTCATGATTGGTCATTACCTTTTGAAATAATGTGTGATGCTAGTGATTATGTCGTAGGTGCTATTTTGGGACAAAGAAAAGATAAAAAACCTTATGTGATTTACTATGCAAGTAAAAATTTAAATAGTGCTCAACTAAATTATACCACCACTGAAAAAGAGTTACTTGCAGTAGTATTTGAATGTGAAAAATTCAGGTCTTATCTTGTTGGCTCACCTGTTGTTATTTTTAGTGATCACGCAGCATTGAAATATCTTCTTTCTAAGAAAGATTCTAAGGCTAGATTGGTGCGTTGGATTTTATTACTTCAAGAATTTGATATCACTATCAAAGATAAGAAAGGCAGCGAAAATGTTATCGCAGATCACTTGTCAAGATTGATAACAGATTCGAAAACTGACATCACACCAATCGATGACTACTTTCCAGATGAATGTTTACTTTCTGTCTCTACAATGCCTTGGTTTGTAATATTGTCAATTTTCTTGTTTCAGGACAATTGTCAGCTCATTGGAGTACCCAAAATAAAAGAAAGTTCTTGAACGAAGTGAAGAACTTTTATTGGGATGACCCTTATTTATTCAAATATTGTTCTGATCAAATATTTTAAAGA